CATCAGTGGGAGTTTCACAAGAGACCAATGGAGCCGGGATTAAACCTTTGATTGGTTTGCTCCTGGTATTAAGTGCCCCCTGGCTCTATCAAATCAGGTTGATCTAAAAGTTAGAGGAAGGCATGGGAAAAGAGCTCACGCATGGTGTGAAAGCTAGCCACGAGTTTTGCACATCTTTATCCCTAGCAGTAACCCCAGGGCTGGGAAAAGGGGTTTTGCTAGACCTCCTTCTGTACTAAGTAGCAGCTTCATGGTTGCATGACTAGGTGGATGGTGTGGAAAGTGTTTTCCTAATAATGGAGATGACGAGCAGCTGTGCAGAATTTCTCAAGAGGATGGATGTCTTAAGCTAGTTCTAACTTGGGTAATTTCCCCTTGGGCCCTCAATTCTGCATAAACGTTCAACCACAGGCAGTATCCCAATAGCCTCATGGCCTAATTCTTATGCCCCGTGGTGTAATCGAGCCTTGAGCATGGTCCAGCTCTCTGCAGGGCCTAGACTTTCCATCGTGACAGTCTGTGCCTTGGGTTTTTCCAAGGCATGTTTGATTTGTGAGATAAAGTGTAAAATACTATTACTGCAATGGTAGGATTTGTTGGAGTCTTGAATGAAGACAACAAAAAGGTCATGGGAAGAGCCTGCTGTTTTCTTGATTTTAAGACAAACTATAGAAAAAGCAAAAACACAATTAACGTGAGGGTTTCTTAAGCGACCCTAGAGATGAATAATAATTTAATATCGTACTGTAGGATCTTCAGTGTCTGCGTCCCTGTTCAGGGATGCTCTGTCCCGCATTGCCCTCTAGCGAGGACGGTGCAGAAGCAAATAACGTCTTCCAGCTTGCAGCCTCCGGGATATGAAATGCAGTATTTTAATACCTGAGGACATGGCTTGTTCCTGAAGTGGCGGTTTGCCATGCGATGCGAATAGTGCGAGGAGGGGGAGCGTTCACCTGCCGCAGATGCCGGTGCGTGTACCTGTGCTGGCTGCAGCTTGCTTAAGGTTTGCTTTTTGTTTGAGCTAACTGCCTCTGCAAGCATCTCCTGCTGCTGCTGGATCACCAGCAGAAAGGCCCCTGCTCCCTTCTGCTTTGGAAAAGGGGGAAAATATCCCCTGGGTATGTTTTGGTGAACGAGGAGGGGGAGCGTTCACCTGCCGCAGATGCCGGTGCGTGTACCTGTGCTGGCTGCAGCTTGCTTAAGGTTTGCTTTTTGTTTGAGCTAACTGCCTCTGCAAGCATCTCCTGCTGCTGCTGGATCACCAGCAGAAAGGCCCCTGCTCCCTTCTGCTTTGGAAAAGGGGGAAAATATCCCCTGGGTATGTTTTGGTGGATGATCTTTTCCCATGTTCTTTGTCTTACCCTTTGCTCCCTGAAACACTTTGGTTCTACAGTTTTGCCTGTACACACACAGTCTGATAACACTGCCTGTGTTTTGGACATTGTCACAGGACAAACTTCTGTCCCTCTTCAAGCCAACACTGGTACACCCCAAGGGGTTGCCCAGAGTGTTAGAACTGGTCTTTATCATTCTGCCTCTTTAGCCCTATGAGCCTGCATCAGTGCCAAATGACAATTATGGTGTGTTCCCAGTTCTCCAGAGCTGTTAGACACTTATCAACCAGCAGTAGGTTTTAAAAAATAATAAAAAAAGGAAAACAAGCATCTGCTGCCTGTGAAGACCACGTCGTGCCTGATTCATCCTGTCCTCAGGTCTTAGTTAAACCTTATTTAACCCTATCCTGGGTTGTGGGTGCCCTGAATCAGCTGTCTCTTGGCCACGCAGTCCTTTCGCTGGCACACACGGTCCCATCAGGGCAGTGGCACAGCAGTTCAGCAACCCCCTTGCCTCCTCGGTGCCGGTGGGAAGCCTGGGGTGCTTCGGTGCCCGCAGCGACCTTCCCTCGGGGGAATCGTCCCTGCGGCTGTGAACCCACAGGCAGCTCTGGAGGAGCAGTTTCTTGGGGTGCTGACTTCCAGGGTCTGGGCTGAGGATCTGCGACTGGGAAAGAGGAGATGCTCGGGTCTGCCTGGGTTTTCCTTCCTCTTGTTCCTTCTGGGACAGGGAAGTAAGAGTGGAGGAGTGTCCAGAGTCCCGCTAAGTCCAAGGGCTCATCCAAAACACAGGCTTCATTTGTCACTGCCTCAGTGACCTGAGACCCAGTGCATCCTTACAGGCTTGACCGTAATTACACAGAAATCCATAATTCGTGTTCACTCATCAGAGAATAACCTGGGCTTTGATTGCCAGCTTGTTCATTGGAGTAATAGCCACAGCCCTTCCTCTGCTAGATGCTGTCTGTTTAAACTCTCTGACTAAGAACTTAACACTTTTCCAACAGTTTGTTCTAAAGTTTCTGATTTCCTGCATGCAAAGGGCCGAAGGGTGCAGCCTGATTGTGAGTATGGCAGGCAGGTGGGTCACTGATCCTCCTGGGGGCTGTAGGACCCCCGGCAACACGTCCCTGATCGTGTTTGGGGAGCTGGGTGGGCTGCACCCTCACCCAGCCTGCTCTGCATGGCACTGGTGGGATGAATGTCAAACACTAATGCCATCTAGTGACCAAAAAAATGCAACGTGGATATTTTATAAAATCCCACTGGAAATGTTATAGCCCCAAGTGGGGCAGGCCTTGGGGCCGGGAAAGAGGGAGATGGTGCTGGGTGTGCTGGGATAAGAAATCCCTGTTCCCTGCTCTCCCAACCTGTCTCTTCCCTCATTTCACATCCCATTAAGTGCTTCTGCAGGGCAACCAGGGACTGGGATCTCCCAGGTGAGTCTTTCCAAGTCCCGGGTAAACAAGGCACGGGCTTCCTAAGCAGCTCTGTTGATTGAGGAGCACAACTTCCCCACCTTACTGCTGGATTGTGGAGCACAAGCCCAACGCCCAGGGTCAGGGTGGCTGTGGGAGGGGAGATGGCTTGCTCTAGTACTGCCGTGGACATCCTGGGCAGAGACCCTGGGGGCTAGTTTAAGCTGGCAGCACGGGCTGTGACGTGGTGCTATTGCTGCAGCTTTGAGCTTAGCTGAGACAGGGCAAGGGATAGCAGCTTCTGCCACTGTCCTGACAGCAGTGACTCCTTCCTGCGGTTCATATAACCTGACATTTTTTCACCTCCCACAACCTCTTGCTTCTGTAGGTGATAGGTGTGAAGGCACGAACATTCTGGTTTCTGCACGAGTGGCTGGCTGGACACGTCATTGCTTTGTACCTTATTAATCCAGTCAAGTCACGGTGCCACAAACCTGGAGGAATTAGTTTACACTCTGCATTTTAAACGTGAAGGTGAAGTTACTTCTGACCATACCAGCTTACCCTGCTTGGCCAAGCTGTCATCGACGGTGCGGTTTGCCTTGTGTAGGGCTGGTGGTCTTCTGGGAATCACAGAATGGTTTGGGTTGGAAGGGACCTTAAAGATCATCTAGTTCCAACCCCCCTGCCATGGGCAGGGACACCTTGCACTAGACCAGGTTGCTCAAAGCCTCATCCAGCCTGGCCTTGAAGATGGCCAGGAGTGGGGCATCCACAGCTTCTCTGGGCAACCTGTTCCAATATAGATCTCTCCTCTTTGAATTAGAACCCGTTACCCCTTGTCCTGTCACTACAGAACCTTGTAAAAAGTCCCCCCCAGCTTCCTTGTAGGCCCCTTCAGGTACTGGAAGGTGCTATAAGGTCTCCCCAGAGCCTTCTCTTCTCCAGGCTGAACAAGCCCAATTCTCTCCTCCAACTCCTGAGAAATGCACAGAGAGAGAACTTTGGGATGAAAAGTTCTAGTTAAGGAGCTTGAGGGATGAGACAGCTGCAACGAAGTGCATTACAAAAGCACCAAGATGCCAGGCAGCACCCCCAAAGAGATTTGGGGAGAGATGTGAGATGCACCCTGCTGCCGAAAGAGAACGAGCAAAGCACTATAAGCTCCTTCTTGGGTCATTTCTGAAGTGACGCGATGCCCAGACTGGTGCCAGTACAGGCTGGCACGTCACCGACCGAGGGTCCCGAAGAGCTGCCCCCCTCACCAGGCACATGGTCCATCAGCAGTGCTCTGCCCCATAGCGAACAAGCTGGCGCTTGCTCTGCTCCGTGCTGCTCAGACTTGCCCGTGCTTTCTTCAGAAAGCCATTTGCAAGGGTCCTCGGGGACTTTTTGTTGTTTTTCTATCCCAAATGTGAAGGTACCAAATATGTTCCTGTTGTCTAATTTACAAATGCTTTGTGTTATCTTTGCTGCTTCTTTCTCTGGATTATCCTTGCGTCCCCCTGCCTTTATGCCCTGGATAATTGAGAGTTGGCGGTGTGCCTGTGGCGTTCCTGTTTCAGGGCCAAAATGGGAGTGAGAATAAATGCTTCTAAATATTGTATTGAAGCAAATAAGTAATTTACTCATAATAGCTCTTCATCTCGCATTACACTGGCAATTTCATGCACATTTTGCAGGAGGAGCAAGCAGTTGTGAGAGTTTGGAAGACCCGTGCGCTTTGGGGAATATTTGCCTTGTGGGTATGATGGGAAGGAGGGCTTCACAGGTTTGGAAGACTGCTCCTACTTCTGTAAAGGAACTTCATCTAGCAGTCTGTGACAGCGCTGCATTTTATAGATTTGCTGACCCTAAATTCTAAAAGTATCCCTGTCTACCAGAAATTTAGCTGGAGTTGGCAAGGTAAAGACTTCCCTATGGGGAAAATACAGGTCTGCCTTACCTTGTGCTTTTGAGTAAGACATCTTTTAGAGCAGCCAGCTGACCAAAACACAGTATACGTTCACCCTGTCTTCTCAACTCAAGAGAAATCCTTCAGCATTAACACAGCTCCATCTCTTCTTTTTTCCTGAAGAGATACGGAAAAGCAAAAAGCACTTGTGGTGCTCTTTTGCCTGAAGCATTTGACACACAGACATACCTTATCTATTTGTCATCAGTAGGGCAATAGCATCTTGGTGGAGACAAGCAGAACAACCTGCAGTGAATAACCTGAGCTCAGTACTAATCTTCTCTTTTCTCTCTCCTTGTAGGGATCCTGTTTACGATGCTGGTGTTTGGACCAGCCTGTGGATTTATCTTGGGCTCCTTCTGTACCAAAATCTATGTGGATGCTGTCTTCATTGACACAAGTAAGGAGAACTGGGTTTGGTTTCAAATTAAATATGCAAATATTGAATCAGCAGGACAAAAATGTTGATGCTCAGAAACAGCAAACTGCTGCTTGTTCCATCTTGAGCGCCTCTTGCATGTATGGGTGTCACTTCCAGAGGGTTTTTACGACTGGGATTCAAAAGTTTTCAACTCTGTCCCCATAGATAACAGATTTGTAGTAGCTAAAATTTGTTCCTTTCCTGGGTTGTCCAAAAGAATGGGCTTTTCTTCTGTGAGATGAGTTTCTGTCCAGCTCTTAGAGGGCACCTTAAAATATCCCTGTGTCAGGGCACAGTGGCTATATACATGGATATAGTCTTGCCAGAGGAGATGTGTCCATAGCACAGGTTGAAATCTGAAGAACTGCCATCCCCAGGAGCTGGGAGGACCATCCAGGCTTTCTGAGGGAGGCACACCAGGAAGACCCATGCTGGGCCCTTTCTGCGAATGGCCCTGTTTGGATGGACAGGTTCAGTCCCAGAGTGTTATTGCTTTTTCCCAAAGCAGTGCTAACTATTTCTCACCTTTACTCTGCACTTGGGTTAAAGCAAATTGTTTGCAAATTGTCTTTTTGTTCATTAAGAAAAAAAAATCTGCAAGTTCTTTTATTGCTACCTGCACTACATGCTCTTTGCCATGAGAGGGCAATATGTAACAGGCTGTTCTCCGCTGCTCCCCAAGCCCTTTGGCTGTAGATGGCAAACCTGAAGCTTCATTCTTTTCCCTCAGTTGTTCAGATGCTTTTTCTACAGTTCTCAGCTCCATCTGATCCCACCGGCGCTTACCGTGCCACAGGGGTGTTGATGCCCTCGAGCGTGAATTCCAGTTCTGTGATGCTGCGAATGCATCTTCACAGGATGCGTTTGGGTGGAGTTGAACCTCACAGGACTCGGAACAGAATTTTGCAAACCTAAGTGCTACTGCCTTTTCTTGGTCTCACGTGCACATGGCAGCTGAAGAAATCTGAGTAATATCAGACAAGCAGGAAAGAAGTGCCTTTTTTGATGGCTGAGACTTTTAGCTGTGGCTTGGTCAAACACCACGTGACCCCTTTTTATTCCTTGCCTTTAGCAAAGATATGCCAAAGACTCACTTGCTCCTGTGGGCAGAGGAGCTTGTTTGAACCCTCTTATATTTTTAACCATTAAGTATAGTTTACTCCAAAATACAGATGTGTGGAAGAAAATATTTCTTCTCCCAGTAGGTGAAGCTGTGGAACTCCTCACCACAGGGTGTTAAAAGTCTACAAATGTATTATAAAACAATAGGACAAGTTTATAGAATTAAAAACGAACATGACACCAAATCTAGCTTAGAAAATCCCTGAGCCACAAATCGCAGGAGTAGTATCAGGTGTATGTTGACTTTATCCTTGCTGACTGTCCGGGCATCCGTAGCTGGTTACCATCAGAGGCAGATACTAGCCTAGCTAAAAAGTTAATGTGATGTGATCTGGGTTTAGCGCTTTCCAGCGGCAGGTCCAGCTGGCTTTGGCCGTGGTCCATCGCTGGGATGTGAAGTCTGGGGCATGCATAGTCACCATCTATTTTTCTATGGTAAAGTAATCCTGTGTTGAAGCTGGCTCTGCCTTGCAGCTCGGGGCAGCACAAGGAGACTGAGCTCCAGCGGGTTGAGCCCTGTCCTGCTCCCTGTTTTGGTCAGGAGGTGTGGGATGCCAGGGCATGCTGCTGTGCTGCCCTCCATACAGGACCTGTTTTAGGAAGAGGATATGAAGAAGACTTTGGTTTATGTGGCTCTTCACATGGTTTTGTTCCCAAGAACCTGACAAAAATGCACTTCAGGCAGGAGGAAATAACAGCAGAAGAATCCAATCCCTCCAAAACACTATTTTTCAGACTTTATATATATTTCAGAGCTACGTGTTATTTTCCCTAAGGAGAAAAGAGTTTCTTTCTGTCTGTGCTTGAGAGACAACTTGATTGCCTCACTTGAGACAGATTTTTCAGAGTGGCGGTAACCAGACAGACATCATGAACGAAGGAGCTTGTTATTCCAGCCATGCAGACCCGGGTCTCCCCTGGGAGTCAGCTCCGACGCTGGGCACCCACTGCTGTCTTGCTGAGCAGCTGTGGCAGCTGCTAGGAACACAGTTTCTTCTCTCCTGCTGCATATTTTTATTCCCCCAAGCTGACTCCAGAGCCACCTTTATCCTTCTCTCTTCTGAGTGATGGCCTACAGGATATTCTTGCCTTTCACTTTGTTCTTCTTAATTTTCTGATGATTTCTCTACCTTTCTGAGCCCATTTGATGCAGTGGGTGGGTTTCTTTTCCAGTATTTAGGACTGTTTCACTCTTCACACAGTCACAGGTGCCCACCTCTCCTTTGCTGAAAAGGGCTGTGAATTCAAAGCAGGGAGAGCATTGAACTGGGAAGAAAGGGGAAGCTGGGATGGACATGCAATGTCCTTGTCTGTGCTGCTACTTCTCCATGCAGGTCTTTGTGCCAGCAGGTATGTCAGCTGTGTGTGCGCATTTGACACACTGGGACAGTGATCTCCAAAACCATGGTGCCAGCACAGGGGACACTGACTGGTATATGGCAGCTTCCTAGAGCTGGCAGAGCCAAAGGCACTGGAGAGAAACTCTGATTAGAGGGTGTTGCAGAAGCTGGATGTACCATCTAGAAAGACAAGGTGATGGGTTGCTTGTCCTAAGCACCTCCTGGGTATGGAGGTTGTTATGTACTGATGGCTCACATGGTCTGGGAGCCCCTCACCAGCCAACAAAGCTCCCAACAACCATCTTCCAGCATACAGGATCATTATCACTGTCATCTTCTCCTCCCCGCAGCCAAGCCACTGACATGTGTGTGTACCCTTGCAGGTAAGCTGGACATAACCCCGGACGACCCTCGGTGGATCGGTGCGTGGTGGGGAGGCTTCCTGCTGTGTGGTGCCTTACTCTTCTTCTCGTCCCTGCCAATGTTTGGGTTCCCGCAGTCCTTGCCCCCACGGCCGGAGCACGCCGGAGAGAGCGAGCAGGCCATGCTTCCCGAGAGGGACTACGAGAGACCCAAGCCGAGCAACGGGGTCCTGCGGCACGCGCTGGATGGGGAGAGCAGCACGACCTGTTTCCAGCAGCTGCGAGGTGAGACACTGGCTCTTGTCACGTTTTCTGTTAAAGTCAGCAACAGGTTAACAGCTGGTTGGATTTATAATTGGTTTCTGATTTGGGCTATCTACCTCTACCCCCCAAAAAAAATTCCACAAAGAACTCACTATCCTGAAATTTCAGTCCTTAGCTTCTAATTATCTGTGGCATTGTCCTCATTTTAAAGAGAGACTTTGTTCCACTTGAAAGGTTTGGGGTTTTTTAAACTACAAAGCCTCAGAAATGCATGATAGTACTGTAGAGTTGAAAAAAACGAAGGGGAACACAGTTGCAAATTGTGAACTTCTTTCCAGTCTACTGTCCTGCTTCCCTCTGCCTCCCGAAACAGAGAGCGAGCCAGCAAGGGCAGTTAAAGGCTCCCAGCATCTGAGCTGCAGCTTGGTGCATTCCCAGATACAAAGCAATGAGTGCTGGGCATCCCTGCAGCTCAAACTGGGATGGGGAAGAGCCAGCCTGGAATAGCAGCGAAGTGGCAGGGCAGAGCATGACGTGTAGCAAATTAGAGTAGAAAACCCCAAGTCATGTCCTGCAGTGGTGGAAAAGGACCTGGCTCTGCTTAAGGTCATCTAAGGATCCAGCATTTTGTGGGAGACTGTGGGTAGATATCCTTTCTGTAGGCTGCGCTGGAAAATCCTTCATCTGAGAGGGTGGTTCTGTAGCACTGGTGGTTGCTTCCCACTCCCCGTCGCTGTGGCAGCGCAGATTTCATTACTGCCTGATGCATTTAGATAAATGAGGACAAAATCACTTACTCCCTGTGTAGTTGCCTTAATTGGGAGTTGAATGAGGTGAGGGTGGGAAGGAAAAAAGGACTTTGGGGAAAAAAATGTTTCCTTAAATATAAAAATGCCTTGACTAGTTGATGTGGATGTTCATTAAGGGAAGGTCAAAGATGTGAAACTTTGGCTTGATGAGAAGATTCAAAAGGTAAAGGGATAAATTGTTTGAAAATTTGTCTGTAAAATTAATTTATTCATCCTTTCATTCTTGTTACAAGGATTTTCTCAAGTTTGAGGAACGGGCTTTTGCCATGGCACATCTGTCTGGATAATTCTGTGGCTTTTGTTGTGGAGTCATCAGGGCATCTGCTTCTGGCCACTGAGTTTTTGGAATGGGCAGTGGAAATTTTTGCAGGTTTTCCTATAGACAAATGAAAGAATTTGGCATGTCCCTGCTGCACGGAGGGGCAGCAGTTCTGCCCGAGGATGGTGCTGGGCAAGCTGAGTTTCTTGCACACAGGGAGGCCTTGGGATGGTTCCTAGAGCATCTGTTGCTCGTTGAAGTGGAGAAATTAAACTGCCACATCCATATGCTTCAAAGTATTGATTACATCAGGAGTCACCGCGGTCTTCCACGTTAGCCTTCTCATTGCAGGTAACCCCATTTCGGATCAGTCAGGATTCCAGAAGTCTCTTTGTAGATGGACTTTGAAATACAATTTACATCACATCAAATAAGACAGGGAATGACCTTTTTAGTTATGCCTTTGAGGCTGTCACAGACGATGCGGTGTTGGTAGCTGACATCTCCTTTCAAGTCCCATGCCACTGTTGTCACAGTCGGAACGTGGTCAAGAGTCGTGTTTGCTGAAGTGCCTGCCTGGAGGAGGTGTTCGGCCACGTACCGCGAGGGAAGGCGGACGTGCCTCACTCCTTGCTGATGAGCAGTGTTCCAGGAGGTGGGCAGAATCTTGCAGCATACGTACGTTTTGCTGGCAGCTGAAAAACATAGGTGAATTCCTGCGTGGCAGGAACTTGTATCCTTAATCTATTTGTTGATTGCATAAAGTTTCCTTTGGGGAAAGTTAGACTGTTTAGCCTTTTCCCTAGGATAAAAGAAGGACTGGTAATTATATGGAGATGTTAAAAATATGTATGTGCATGCATAGTCGTGTCTTCTGTCCTATTATGGGCTGTGCATGTATTTGTGAAGCTGAACAGCAGAGGATGTACTGTGTGTGGGATTCGGGGTGGAAATACTCCTCAGGGTTTGTGTGGCCATAACTCAGACTCCTCCTTAGCAAGTGTTTTCTCTGCAGCTTGGCCCTGCCAGGTGTGTGCTGGCTGTACGTCCATGCCTGCGTGAAGGTGTGGATTGTCCATCTCTGGTGTACAGTGTGGGGAGGAAGAGTTCTTTCTCTGGACTGATGGTGCGAACACACTGTGTGTCAACAGTGCATCCTTACAGGCTGAACTGAGCCTCCTTTTAGGTTATTGAAGGGATTGATTATTTGTTATTTTATTTTTTCCAAGCCTTGCAGTGACTGCGGCAAGGGAATGGACAAGGCAGGAGAGGGAGCAGGTGTCAGTCGGAGACGCGCTGCCAGCCTAGGTCACGGCTGTCAGCTAGCGACATGGCATGGCTGGCATGTGGGAGGATGCTCAAGACACTGCAAGATCTGCTGAAAGACAGTGAGATGCAGGGCTGGGTGAGATTCCTTGGCTTTTGCCAGCCTTAGCACACAGAAAAGCTAGGACTACTATAAAAGCAACCTGCTCAAAGTGTCAAGTCTTTTACATCTCTATCAAGGTCTAAACAGGAGGGAGGGCCCAGCTTTTGGGAAGCCACAGCATCTCTTTCTGTGGGGTATTTTCATGTTGGGAAAAGAAGTATCCTTAAGAGGAGCTTCAAGCTTGAAAGGAAAGCCATGCCTTTGAATGGCACAAGGTGAAGAGGCAGTCGAAGGCAGCAGAGGCAGCGGGCGGCTGCCACGGCAGCTCTGCACAGGGGCACGGCAGCTCAGGTGAGGAAGCTTTGGGACAGTCCTGGGACTAAACTGGCATGTGAATGCTGCACTGCTTTACCTGATTAGCATTTCAGTTCAGCAATGCAAATGCATTTGGGAGCACAGGGAAGTGAAGGATTAATAGCAGAGAGAGAGAATGGATAAACGCTGCCATTGCCCTTTGCTCTCGGCTGGCAGGGTTGTTCCAGCCCTGCGCTCTCTGTATGGTCTGTGAAAGCACTTCAGGCAAGGGCTGTGGTGGTTCTTGCTGTCCTGGGGGCACAGCTTTGCTTTCCTGCCTCTGCTCTGCCTTGGGGACCTCTCTGCTATTGGGGGCTGGAGGTGATGCTCAGCCATGTCAGGGTGCCTGTACCCTCTGCTCATGTGTGTCCAACACCTGCCCTCTCACTTGGTATTAACACGCTGCCTCTAACCCACCACCTGCTCCAGGACGTGCTTGGAAATATTTCCTTAAAATCATATTTTTTTTGTGCAGAAGTGTCACTTCTACTGAATTGAGCGGTCAGTTCTGATGAAATTGGGTTTCAAAATGCTTCCTTGGCTTTATCTTTAACACCCCTTAAACATTATGTTCTAAATACATTTTGTTTTGTAATGATTTAAACTAGAAATTCATTACATTCTGCCTGCCTGTCTAGCGAGAGAGATTAAAAACCTAAAAGGATTGAAATTGATATGGAGTCCTTTAGGTTTGGAGAGAGAAGCTCATTCAGAAGGAATTAGAAGAAAACTCACTGTGGAATTCAATGAATTTCAAAACTGCGAATTCCCTAGATTTGGAAACATTTTGGTTTCTGTCCAGCTTCATTTCCAAGAGCGTAGGAGAGCTGGGATGTACAGCTGACAGCTGTCTTGTCTTCTGTTTGGTTCCTTCCTGCTCTGTGTACCAGTCTGCTGAATACCTAGAGAGGGAGCTGCTCTGAATCCTGGAATTGTCTCCCCAAAAGTGCTCTCTGGGAGCAGACATGTAGCACAGAAGCTCGCACCTGTGCAGGGAGGTCCCAGGCCATGGAGAACCTGTAATCTTTGGTGGCATTTCATAGGATTGAGGGGGATTAATGGATAACACAAGTAGTTTTAAACTCATGACTCTTAACGAGTGATAGTGATAACCTTTTGGAGGGGGATCCATCTGTACCTTCATTCATGGCCAGAGCAGTGAGTCTTTGGCCTAGATCTAGATGGGTACCAAGATCTAAACGCTTTTTTGGGTTTGGGTCTTGGCTCCCTATCAACATCTAAAAGGCTGGCTGAGAAATCTTAACGTTAGAGCTGAGAAATCTCAACCCTAGATAAGGGGTTGGTGGGTGATTGTAAGAGGCCCCACATCAGGTCCCATCAGGCTTCGAGTTTCCTTTGGCTTGGATTTCATGAGGGTGCAGGCTTTGTTGGCAGGTTCTTCTTGGCTGTCTCAAAGCCAGCATCCTTGTTATCAGCAGCTTTGATTAATTCAAAAGGCCTTCAGCCTGCATGCTTAGGGGCAGAAGCTGAGCAGCAGCTATGGTCAGACAGAGTGTGCCTGTCCCCAGAAAATACGCTGCGTGGCCATGACCTCCATGGTGCAGGTGAAGGAGGTTTATATCCCCCTCTGAAGTCGAGCAAAGGTGGCTGCTGGAGGCAAGATGACAGAGAGAAGGACCCGCTTTCCATTCGTGAGAACATTACTGTTGTTTCAAGCTTGTATCTGTGAAGAAGCCTGTTTGATGTAGGTATCATCCCTTTCCTTCATGTCCTTTGTGATACTAATTTTGCCAAGGCCACGTGGACTTTGGCATATTAAATTCACTTGAGCACCTCTTGTCTTGCTCCTTCTTCACTTTCACAGAAGCTGCCTCTTTCCAGGAGAAATTTTCTTCTTGCTGCCTGCGCTTTCTTCATCCCTTATTCCTTAAGCCAGGTGGAGATTTTGACTGTTGTTTTCTATTCAGATCCAAGGCTTTCTGCCTCCACTGCTATTAGAAAGTAGTATTTTGGCTCAACACTACGTTTCGCCTTTCCCCCACCGCACTGTCCTAGGTGGACCGGGCTGTAAACCTCCCTCTAATTTATTACTTTGCTTTCTGTGTTCCTCATCTTTACTGCAAATTGAAAACATGTCTCTGTAGGGTGCTCCGACTGGAAAAAGGGGCCTTGGTGATTGTAATGTTCCAAACAATTCATTTCAAGCACCAACGTGATGATTATAGTTTGTCGTTTCTGGAGAGTAGTTAAACCTCATGTAATGAGGTTGCCAATTATCCCCGGTACTCCCCGATGTTTAGTGACAAATCAAAGCTACTTGGTGTACGTAAGTGTGTTTGCTTGTCAAGCCCGTGGCCTGTCACCCACAGCTTGCCCCACAGCGGGAGATAGGGAGGATGCTTGATGCCTTGGCCACGGGTGTTGGTTGGGGTGTTAAAAGGTGAGAAGTCGATTGGCGGGGGTGTTGGAGAGCTTTGGGACATCCTCCTGCATCCCTTCCAACCTATGGATAATCCTGTGATGAACACTGCATGTGGATGTCTAAAGAGTTGGGGTTTAAGCACTTCAGCAGTGAAGAGGCTGAGGTTTCTTGTTCTTCTCAGCGTGACTTGACGTGGCAGTGAGAATCACTTTTCTGTTCTCGTTTCTGTAGCATATCGGGTGCACTGGGATAAGGATGTTAAATGGGCTGGTCCTTGTGAGCATGGGAGCGTGGGTCTTTCTGTGCCATGTCTGGTAACAGGTTATGGGTTCTCCAGGTCGATTTTTGAGGTTCTTTTGAATCCAAAAGACCTTTCACTTTTCCCATTTGGTGAACAGGCTTCAACCTCAGATTTATAGCTCCAAAGTGTTCATCTAACCTTTGGGCCAACGAGACAGAAGGCAATGTTTATTATGGCTTTTGCTGGGATGGGCTCCAGTGAAGAAGTGCCATGCTTAGCTGTTGTGTTCCCCAGGGCTTTGCTGTCCCCCATCAGACATTTTCCATTCCCTCTTCATAGCCAGCACCATATGCCAGGCAGCTGAAAGCACGTCAGTCTAGTCTATTGAGAGATTTTTAAACTTCACTGCTGACTTTTAATCTTGTTCCCAGAGGTATTTCACCCCAAGAACTGAGAGAGATAAGGCAGCAGCAGGTGTCAAATGATTCATCTTAACGGGTGGCAGTACCAAGATGAAAGGATATTCATTTCTATGGGGAGCCTCCTGTCATTTCGCTTAGAAAATGAAAGGGAACGAGCTGGCCCTGGCTGAGGAGATGGTGGAGACTGCCAGGCATTGCCTGCGTTGCCTCTGCGCTCTTTGCACTGGGTTTTGTGTTACACCCTCCAGCTGGTACAGAGCCCAGTTGCAGCTGACCATGGTCAAACATGCAGTGGGGGACAGGATCTGTCCCAGAAAACCCACACCCTGGCACACAATGAGGAGAAGCAGTGATGAAGTGATGGGACTCATCGCCCAGCACTGCCAGGTAAGGCAGTCACGGGGGCCTCGTCTCTTGGGTGAGATGGTGCCATAACTCTGCAAACTATTGCTGCCCTTCCTTAAGCAAGAAAGATGGGTTCTGACTTTGGCAATGCATGAATGGTTTTATACCAGCCTTGCCAACTTCAGAAATAAATGTCCGTGATCTTTAACTCCCTCCTGCCAAAGACAGGCTGTCACTGTTATTATTTAGTGGATCAAGTTAGAGTTAGACCTTTGTGTCTTTGCATTTGAATTGGCACAAAGCTACATCTCAAGGAATCCATTAGTCTCGAACAAACTGAATTCCAGAGGCACAACAGGCATTAATACCTTAAATATGGCTTTCCAAGCTCAGCACTGCCAAGTCCACTTTTGCATTTTCCCTCCTTTTCCTGGCAAGAAGGGGAAATTCTGTAGGTGGCAACCAAAGAACTGAAGGAGGCAGCGGGTGGCTTTTGAGATCTATCCACATCTGAACTCCCCCACCCCTTTTCCTCCTTCACGGCATTTTTTCCTCTCCCCTGTCTCCCCCATCCTGTTCTACTAAAAAATACTATGCCTCCTGCACCTTCTTTACGTTCAGCAAATCCTCAGGAAGCAAGAATTTTATACAGCGTGAAAACACATTTGTGATATAAAGAGACCAGAAACTGTGCACTGGACCCCTCCAAAAAGGTTGGATTGTATCTAATTATAACCACACGCACACCCCCTTCCCCCAAGAAAGAACCAAGGGGACCCAAGCAGAGCCCTAACAAAGAGCTGTGCATTTACTTGCTGAGGCCAGTGCAATTAGATTTTGCACCAAAAAAAGCCCTAAGGGAAAACAGAAGCCAACACCAGAGAAATCTGTCGTCTGCCAGACCCTGGTACACCATAGGGGATGTGGGGGATGGATTTTCAAAATGCAAATAGGGGTCCATTGAGGCTTCACTACACTTCAGCGAGGTAATTTTCAAAGTTAATGATTTTCACTTTTAATTCAGGGAGAAATTAGTCATCAGGTATTGAGACAAAGAAAGGCTCACTTCTGTACTGGGATGCTCTCCTCTTCAAGCTGTGTTATCTCGGCAATAATTAAAATGTTCGCTGAAGTAGAAAATGTGCTATCTGATTCATTAGCCAGATTTCCCTTTGTAAGGTAACTCGTGTTTGCTTATCAGAAATAGAGACGGGCTTGGAGAAGAGGATTCTGGCTGCTAATGATTTGGGAGGAAGGAGCAAGGGATCATGAAGCTAAAGCAAGCGTGTGTGTCTTACACAGTGACTAGCTCAGTGTGTCCTCTTCCACTCCTGCAGGCACCAAGGCTGGTAGGGCCTGCATGGAAGGTGTTGCTTGGCTGGTGAAGCTCTGGTTTATGGAAACACGCAGGCTAACATGCCTGTCCCAGGCGTGAGGTCCCTTATGCCCATGGGTGGCCATGGCCGCAGGCCAAGCAGGAGAAATTCATCTCGCACCCAGATGTGCTGCAGGAAGGGGTCCCTCAGCAAGCAAGCCAGTGTTACGTGGGAATATGAAAATGAGCAAATGAAGCAAATCTGGACAGCGGGAGGAGGAAAGGCCAAGTGTGAGTTGGGTTAGCTTGTGTCTGAAAGCGCGCAAGAATTTGTTCCGTGCTGAGTACAGTACTCGTGACACCCGTCAGCTGGCTCAGTTTTTGAAAGGAGAAGGAGAAAGAGAATACTGGGCTTTGATTGACTTCCCTAGGGAGGAATCAAAAGCAATATTGGAAAACATTCATCCTTCAGAATTTCAAAATCATCTGTAACATGTAAACATAATGACGGGTGACTTCTTTTTGCATCCTCCTGGTGTCTGAATCTTTAGATGCCACTGGTCTGGTGTTTCACTTCCATATTTCAACCAGCTTCTCTGTGCAGAATAGAAAATTATTCCTGATTTGAAGTGGGTTTGTCCTGCAGGAGAGCAGCAAGGCACCTCCAGCACCTCGAGTAGAGCCCACACAAAAATGCCTCTCCCTTCTTCCTCTCTTCTAGTGATCCCCAAAGTAACTAAGCACTTGCTCTCCAATCCTGTCTTCACTTGTATCATCCTGGCGGCCTGCATGGAGATCGCGGTGGTGGCCGGCTTCGCCGCTTTCCTGGGAAAGTACCTGGAGCAGCAGTTCAACCTCACCACCTCATCTGCCAACCAGCTCCTGGGTGAGTAACCACGGGGGCCACTGAGTCTCCAGCCTCCAAAGGTGTTTAAGAGCATTCAGCCTGGCTGGTAACCGCAACTAGGCTCATTGGTCAGGCTATCCAAAAAGTGACTTGCCCAACATCTAGAAAGGTGTCCGTGAGTGGGAGAGCTGGGCTCCAGCTGTGCCTTGGCCGGCATCCTTCCTCCTTGGCTGTGCTTTCCACTGCAGCCCACTGCAATCACTTCCCCTGTCACCCAGCCCGTTGGGTGAGAAGTGGTGTGGTACAGCCAGGGTGTGAATGTCTGTGACGGCCCTGAACAAGCAGAAGGCCCAACGGAACGAGGCCATTTGGTTGCCCAAGACTGCAGTTTGTTGCCGAGCAATGGGGCTGCCCATTGAACTGCTTGTCTCATGGTTCAGTATCCCAGGGTTCTCCAGCCCATCTCCATTTGGGTTAGGAAGCCCAGTTTCTCCTGCAAGTCCCTCCTTTCCCCTTGGGCTGGAGACGATGGGATGGCAATCAGAAGTTCGGATCGCCAAGCTAGTGCAGCTTGGTTGTCTTTCAAATGCCCCTTCTCTCTGACCATGCTGCCGCGGTTTCTCGTACCTACATTTCTCAGTGTTCATTCATTCCCTGTCAGGACGCTGATGCACAGTCAAGCTCTTCATTTATTTTCTCCTGCTGCTCATTCCCAAGCAGGCCCAGTGATTTGTTTATGACAGCCCTTCTCGGCAGCACCCAATTAAGATATCCGTGAGATGATCTTGGATGATCTGCAACCACAGCTCGCCAGATGGGCAGCTGGCGGTGATCTGTCAAAAACTGGGACATACGAAATGGGTGGATCTTAATATCAAAATAAGGAGCTTGCAAGCTGCTCTCCTGACGGTTATTTATTTTCCCACTGAACTCATTGATATCATCTGCTTTCGGCCTGGTTTTCCAAAGGAAAGAATCCCCTGCAGTTTTCGTGCCTCCCCCGCGACACAGGAACTCTCCAGTGAACTTCAATAGGATTTGGCAGAAGGGCAGAGGTCTCAAAGATGTTAGGGACTTCCATCTTTGCCAAGCCTTTAATTTTCAGGAAAGGAAAGCAAATTCACTGTTGACCTACTGGGAGAAGGAAAACCACTACTCTGTATGGCAGGGGTTGCCTGACCTGTCAGCATGAGTACAGCTGGATGGTCATCAGAGGGAATCACCTGTGAGTTGGAGCACATCCTACTCCTGACCTAGCAGTGGGAAAGGAGACTTTGATACGTCCGTGGTCCTCACAACAGCTTGTTTAATTTAAACAAAGTTGCTACCAGATTTCCCACGTGGCATTTATGGGAGTCCAGAAATGCCAGGATTTGGATGCACTTCTAAGCTTAGCCCAGGTGGGTAAGGTCTGGAGTATAACTGGGAGCAAAGGGATAAAAGTGAACACAGAGAAATTTAGTGTGATAATGCCTTTCTGTGCCTGGAAAGTGAGTCACTTCTGGAAGTGTTTTTGCATCTCACAGTTTAAGAAGATTCTTTAAATTAAGACTTCATATTTTCAAATGCAGCTATTGCCTAACCTCTGAAATCAGGCCGTTGTGAAGTATACCAAGCCAGGCTCATCCAAAGCCTCTAGACATCTTGGAAGTTTCTTTACTTTATTTGTCTGCTAGTTGTTGCAGGAAGCATTAGAGATGCTGTTACTTAGGTTAGGTTGGGCCAATCTCAGCAATTTTGACATCTCTCTGCAATATGGACAAGAAAAGGAAGAATATCCTGGTTCCTCTGTGCAAGGCAGCATACCTGCTTGCATCCATTCCTCTCTTTTTGGGCAAGCCCAGTGTGGTGCTGCTCCAGCAGTTGGTCATTACAAGGCTTCCCCATGCTAGTGCACAGATCTCTTTGCTGGAATGTAAGAAGCTGCAGTAATGTGGTTCACTGAGCCTCTCTCACACTCGCTAACTGATTTTTCCTCTTGCAGGGATGACAGCAATCCCGTGCGCATGTCTGGGCATATTCCTGGGTGGCCTCTTGGTGAAGAAGCTCAGCCTGTCTGCTCTGGGAGCCATCAGGATGGCCATGCTGGTGAACCTGGTATCCACAGCATGCTACGTGTCTTTCCTGTTCCTGGGATGCGACACAGGACCTGTGGCAGGGGTTACTGTTCCCTATGGAAACAAGTGAGTCCCCAGGGAGTTTCAGGGTCTCGCTCAGCCTTACCAACATAAATGCCATGTTACTGTCCTCGACGGGCAGCCGTCAGGCAGCGCTGGCCCTCAGACAACCATACAAAGCAAGATGTAGAAGGCAGTGTTGCATAGGGCTCTTTCTTTGGGAGATTTTCATGCCAATCATCACTGCGAGAGTTGAGTAGCTGACAATGGAGTTTTACTAAAATCAGTCAAACTGAATCAAGAGGTGCCAGACCTGCTTCTGCACCCATGGCCACGTACATAGTATTGGGTCCACCGCGCTGTCTGGTTTCTCCTGGCAGCGAGGGACACGCACTGCTTTGTACATTTATTTAAGTGCCTGAGGGTAATTTATAGAACCAGTTTTTAGATGCCTGGAAAATGAGATACAGTGAGGAGAGAGTATGTGTGGCTCCTGGGCCATTTTGATGGGAGAAAAGAGGCACACGGTGCCCTGTAGCATTCATGGGAGTTATGCTGTATTTTTTCTGGTGCTCCTCAGTATGCAGTGGCAACTCTTTAGAAGATGGCCACTTCAGGCTGTCAGCTCCTCACAGTTACTGTTCTGGAAAAATACAGAGGAATCTCCACAGCATCTCTTTGGATTTCCGTCAGGCTTCTCAGGGTAACAAAGCAGCCCAAGGCTTGCATTACATTCCCTATGGCAGAGGATTAGTGGCCATGGCATGTCTGTCCCCGCGGAGAGGCTGTAGCCTGGATTTCTTGAAGCTGGGACCCAGATAGCCTGCCCACTGCTTTTTGTAATTTATTTGCCTTTAACTACCCTTCTTCAAAGCTATCTTTGATTGGAAAAGCCGGCTGGTATCATTACACTGGTGGCTGATAACATTTTTCTTTCTGTTTCTCTTACAGCTCAACTCCAACCTCGTCTCTGGACCCATATTCCTCCTGCAATAACAACTGTGAATGCCAAACGGATTCCTTCACTCCAGTCTGTGGGGCAGATGGGGTCACATACTTATCTGCCTGCTTTGCTGGCTGCAGCAGCACGGTGAGTGGGCTTTCCCTGGGACCTCTCACCTGTAGGAATGATTCTATGAGTGTGAGTGCGTGAGGTTAGTGTGTATCTGGTAGAGCAGCTCATTTTCAGCCAGCAGTGGTTACACCCCCAAAAGCTAACCTTGTACCTCAGGTGAGTCTGAGTCGCTGTCATTTTTGACTCTGTTGCATAAATGCCCACTGACTCCGGCAGCAGTCAGCCATGGACACCCACAGAGTGTGGGGTGTATTGGGTTTGCGTGGCAAGGTTTTGGTAGCCAGGGGTGTACAGGGGTGGCTTCTGTGAGAAGCTGCCAAGAGCATTCCTAAGTCTGATAGAGCCAATGCTAGCCATCTCCGACAGACCCACTGCTGGCCAATGCCAAGCTCATCAGCGCTGGTAGTAGCATCTCTGGGATAACGTGTTTGAGGAGGTGGGGGGGAATGGAGAAAAGCAATTGCAGCCAGAGAGCAGGTTTTCTGTCAGGAGTTGTTACTCCACAGGGAACCCAGGCTGGAGCAGTTCATGGAGAACTGCAGCCTGTGGGAAGGACTCACGTTGGAGAAGTTGGTGGAGGACTGTCTCCCGTGGGAGGGACCTCACGCTGGAGAGGAAGGAGAAGCAGAGATGCGTGTGATGGACTGACCACAGCCCCCATTCCCCATCACGGCCCTGTGCCAGGCGTGGGGACTCCTCCCAGCAGGAGACAAGCCAACACCTGAGGTGGCAACACGATCATTTTAACAAGAAGCCAGCTTGAACAGGGCACACAGAATAGTGTCTTGCCAGTTCGCTGAGCCCTTAGCAAGAATACAGCTGGTGTGGTCCGTGGTTGGAGTGCCGGAGCGACCTCCTCGCTGTTCAGGGCAAAGCTCTGGCTCCTCTGGAAGGAGCACAGTAGGGAAAATTCAGCTCTCCCCCTTCAGCCTGGAGCTGCCTGACTTCATGCTCTCCAAGAGCAAACCTCTCAGCAAAAAACTCACTCTCCCTCAGCCTCTTACTCATTCTTTCTTATTTTGCCTTTTTGTCATCATCTTGGGGTTCTTTTCATCGCTTTGTTTTGTGGGTGTTTTTTGCAGTAACATTTTGAACACAAATTAGTGAAGCAATAGCATCATCTGGAAAGGGCATTACCAAGAATTATGGATCAGTTTGGCCATGCAATGACCCTGAGGCAAAGCCAAATTGCCAAACCAGGTTTTAAACCCATAATCCAGGTAATGGCCTGTCTAGAGGGTCTTGTGAATGTTATATGCTTGTGATGAGCCAAGGGTTGCTTTTTACTGGGACATAAAATTCTCTGAATGCTTTATTTAACTTTACTGCATTGGATGTTTCTGACTGCCTCTATCCACTTTTCCTCTTGTGAACAATTTCTAAAAGCAATGTGTAGCTCAGTTAGGGTTTTTTTTTTCTTTTTCATTTCTTCTCTCTGACTGAGCTGGTTGCAGAGGTACAGATATCTGAAAAGCCATAGGAGCATCAGTGCTGATAGGCAGAGCTCTGTCACCCTCAGGAATTTCTCTTTCAAACCATGCCTGGGAGAGGCCCTTGCGTATGAAGCCTTTGACCATGCATCTTGTTTGTTTGATGCTACTGCTTCTCTCCCTTTGTGGGGGGACAGAAGTGACCCCTTTGGCCTGGAGACGTATGAATGCCAGCTGGCATTACCATCCTGGCATCTCATGGCATTGCACTGAAGTACCAGCCTGTCCCTTCCCTGTCAGAGCCAAGGTTTAAAAAAAAAAAAGGGTCATTAAAACCACGGGTAATTAGATAATTACCCCAAACTCAGGATGCTGTTAAAGGTGCAAACTCCGCATTCTTTGCAGCATTACGTGCACACAGACAACCGGGGTGTGCAAGCTGCTGGGCAGCGGAAGGCTGTGAAAATGCGTGGTTGAATGCGGTGGGGTTGCAGACAAGGGAATCTACAGCAATTTGGCTTGGGTAGCAAAAAGTTGCCTCTCCGTAGGACAAAGGTAAAACTCCATCTTTGATGTTTCCTTGTTTGATGTCTGCGAGTTGTATAGCGTGTCAGTAATAAAAGATCAAAGATCTCCCAGGTAAGGCTGGGATGCGGCGCTGAGCAAGCAGATCCAGTTGATACAAACTACTCACACTGCTTTGGGCTAGCAATTTAGTGCAAAATGGTCGAAAAAGCAGATTGAGGGGCAAAGTTTCCGGCAGTGGAGGTGGGGACCTGCCTTTGGGTTTGTAAAAAATCACACCAGTGGGAGGAGAACTTGCCCTGCCATTGCCAGAAACAGGCACTTTCTCTCCATTGATGAGAGCCCGTGGGACATAAGCACCCAGTTCTGCGTGTTTGCCGTAATGGAAATTTTGTCCCAGGATATTTCATCGCAGGTGTGTGCTTTCCTGGACCTAGATGGGTTTTTAACTCACAGGGCTGTGTCCATGCTGGTTGCTAACAACGCACTGCAGTAAGAGCCAGGAATTACAAATTCCTGTTGTCTCTGTGCGGAACACCACTGCAGTGGTGCTAATTGTCACCATCTCCAAGCCTTCAGGTAGCAGCTTCTAACTCACAGCACAGGATTTGTTATGTTAATTATTGCTTGCCAGCCAGAAAGACACCTGCACGTCTACATCAGCTCTCCTGGAGTTCTGCACTGCGGTCTCTCTTGCCCTCTGTGCACTTATTTGGAAGAAAATCATTTGACACCGATGCAAAAGAAAGAGATTGGTGTCGGAAAGTCTAGAGTAGTGTCCCAGCAGATCCTTATCTTTGGAACCGGTGAACCAGAAAGTGTGCTTTTGTATGGTCCTAAGGGGACCCCAGCTGAAAAGCAAAGGAATTTCTGCTTGAACGTGGCAGAGGGGAAGGGGAGGAGATTTAGCTGGTTTTCAATATGTTTTATTTTATAGCGTTACTCCTCTTACAGACATGTGACCTGCAAACCCAGCGGGCTGATGAAGGCAAGCCATGAATCATTTATGATCGTTTCATTCTGTATTCGTTAAGGGATTTCTTGGTACTATTGTGTGCCTTAATTGCACTGACATCCCCCTCTCAGAAATTCAGGAGGGCAAGTTGGAAAATAAGAAGGGAAATAAAAAAATCCCTAAACCTGTGACTGGCAAACAAACCTTCTTTTCCCATCCTGCACTTGCTGGAGAGATCAAAGAAAAATGCCGTCATTTTGCCTTCCTTCTGATCACATATTGATAAAGTTTATCTTGCCTGATTTCAGCTTTTAGCTCAACACAGATCCCTCTGAACCAGTTGTCATTTATTAGCCCTGTAGTACACTCGAGTCCAGCAGTGTCTGCGCCGCCAAGCTTGATAGTTCAGCTTTTGGTGAGCCGCAGCACCCGTCGTGGGTGGCTCCTTCCCGGGATTCGGGGTGCTGGAAGCGGGAACCGAACCCGCAGCTAAGAACAGGGCTGCAGATTTTAATGGTTGTTAAACCTCCTTTTAATGTACTTCAGTTTAATTGCAACAGCCAAGAGGACGGAGGTAAATAAGAAAGTAATTACAACCATGATTTGGGGATCTTCCTTGTCGCAGGGACACAGATCGTTTCTTTATTCTCCTCCAAAGGGGTATAACTTGGTAATAATTTTGTCGCAGTGACATTTATGGGAGAGACTTGAAAGGAGCAGAAGAAAAGAAACAAGCCAAGGGACAGCTTTCCCTTGCTGGTAGCATGCATCAGAGCTGACGTGCTTCTGAAATTCTTTCCAAATCCCCCTCAAATAAGCACTTAGGAGTTACTTAATCGACTATTAGAGGATTCAGAGTTGCTGTTGGCAAGCCCTTGTTGCAGAGGGCAGGTGCTGGGGACCACGGTTCTCCTTTCTGAACCCCTGTGTTCCTCCGCAGAACCTCAGTGGCTGTTCGTGCCTCACCTCGCTCCCTGCCGAAAATGCCACCGTCGTTCCCGGCAAATGCCCCAGTCCCGGCTGTGAAGAGGCCTTCTTGACATTCCTCTGCGTGATGTGCGTTTGCAGCATGATCGGGGCCATGGCGCAAACGCCGTCAGTCATCATACTCATCAGGTAGGAACGCTGCCGGGAGGAGCCGAGGAGCCTGATGGGGCTGCTCCTGGGGTGGGAGCAGGGCTGGGGGGCCATGGGGTGCTGCCGGGAGCTGCAGGGAGCAGAGGGTCCCACACAGCTCCTGGCCGCTGCCCCTTAGGCTGCACTGACTGTCCCCAGGTCCATGATTTTGGACTGAACCTCCGCTCAAGGCAGCAGAAAATCCTCCTGTGACTAAGCATATTGGGTAATTGGTATAAATTGAAATCAAGGAGGTTTAGATTAGATATCAGGAAGAAATTCTTCCCAGAGAGGGTGGTGAGGCACTGGAACAGGTTGCCCAGAGAAGCTGTGGATGCCCCATCCCTGGATGTCTTCAAGGCCAGGCTGGATGAGGCTTGGAGCAACCTGGTCTAGTGGAAGGGGTCCCTGCCCATGGCAGGGGGGGTGGAACTAGATGATCTTTAAGGTCCCTGCCAACCCAAACCATTCCATGATTCTATGATTCTATAAGCACTCCCTGCTGAAGACACCTTGAAAGAGCTGCCTGTATTTGCAAAATATTTTGAGCCTCCTCAGCAAATGAGGAGCTGTGAGCACAGGCTTTCTCATACGTTACTGCCTTTGCATGCAGGCAGGAGTTGGGCATGTGAAAGCCCAAGCAGTCCTGCCTGAATTTCAGCCCCGTTGTTTCAAGTGTTAATTGAATCATTTTCTCTCTGAGCCACCGTTTCGCTTGGTAGCACGTGGTTCATCCGTGGCACAGCCCGGCTGAGCTCAGTGCCTGCAGTACTGGCCTGCTAGAGAGTGTGCAGGAGTTGCTTGAGTACCGCTTTGGTAAAATGGGAGTGAGGAGGGACTGGGCTTACAAACCACGAAGATCCCTGCAGAGGTGCTGCAAAAGAAGGTGGCATGCTTGTTCTTACCAAGTGGGAAGGGAAATGGAGATGAGCAGCTTGCAGTCCAGGCAGTAAGGTCATTACAACTGCATCAGGAAAGGGGCAGAACTGCAGCCCCATGTTCTCAGCACGTAACACCTTAATAAGATAACTTCAGAAATGGCCTGGAGATCTTAGAAACCATGGAAAAATGAAAGGCTGCGGCAAAAGCTAGCTTTGGTCAATACCCCCCTGGCTGGAGTTTTAACTTCACTCACCCTGGACTAAGTCCAAGAACAGAAGGAACTTGAAAGTCTGAAGGACGTCTCTGAGTTCAGCCAATATGAATAGGTGAGCAAAAGTAGCTTATTCAAATTACTGACCTTGCGTTATTTCCAGACACATGGAACACTTCACCTCACGATACACGGATATATCTAAGCCCACGTTTATCCAGAATTACTTATCTGTCCGGGCTGTCACTTACTGAGAATAATAACCAGAGGCATAAATAGCAGATCCATTCTGCTGCCTGGAAAATTCCAATAAAATTCAATCAATAAGGTCTGTATTAGAAACACACTCTTGAGTGGATCTTGGACGGAACAGCTCTGTGAGGGCACGTCTCCCTGCAGGATACCGGATGAGATATTCCACCTACTAGTTCGTTTCTCTCTTTGCATCTACAGTAGCTAAAGGGAAATCAGCTTTCTCATGATAAATATTGTGGCAAAAGTAATTTGAAGTTTGAAGAGTTCTTTGTTCAAGGGAGCTGCCAGCACCTGTAGGATCCTGAATGGAGACGTCGTAGTGTCGACTGCAAATGAGATAAGCCAATCGCCAGCCAGGAAGAAGAATACAAGGGAATAAGTAAAGCAAAGGGAGTATTACAAATATTCAGCTCACAGCTGTAGGAAATAAACAATTCACACATCCAAATTAGTAACGCCGTTCCCCTCAGAATCACTGACAGCTACTAAAATGTACAGGGAAGAGCTCCTCGCCATATACCACCTCATGTCTCTTGCAACTGCTGTCTTAGATTGCTAAAAGAAAGTTGTGGTGTACGAGTGTGTCCCTGGTATCCGTGGCAGTGATAAACGGCATTGGCAGCACCTGTGGTTAATTTATAAATGAACTTTAGTGTTTACAAATTAGATGTCTGGGCAAGTCATCAGTTCATGGCTGGAGTTGGTGAGAAAAGGAGATGTCTCTGGGTGGCAGCTTTTTCTCTGCCCTGCAGTATGGGGATTGACTTTGGTCTTAAACACAAAAAGGTGGCTGGAAGGACACCACCATCATTTAAAAACCCACTGTGACTATTTCACACCATAATGTATTTTTTCCATAAAATAAACTGTAATACTCCTGTTTCCTTCATTTCCCATACAACTGCAGAATCCTATTTGAGCCAAGCCATTAACCACTGGAACATTTTTCCAAGGGTAGATACTTCATGGCATAAGGGCTTTATATTGAGCCTGGGGGTCTGCCTCAAAACCCTACTGAAATTCACCCAGGGGTCACAGGCTTCTTGCAGGGACCATGATACAGTGTTACGGGGCCTATGTGGTGTGTGAGATGAGGACTGGTGATCAGAATGGGCTTCTCTTAACTTAGTCCTGTTGCTCCATCAGGCTGTTTTACCAGTGTTGTCTGACGCCCCTCCAGTGTCTTTATACAGAAGACCTCCACTGCCACCATGGCTGTCACTACTGTGCTGACTACAGACCTCTGCGAGGAGCTAACGGAAGAGGCAGCTGAGCCGATAAAGTTCCCCTGTGTGATGAATCAATTCATATGGGGATCACTGTCCTGCTTTCCCAGCCTTTATGTACTGTGGGAAATAAAATGCTACTGTAAGACTTAAGACCAAATTAATGATTTCTGAAATTCCAAAGCTTTGCTGAGCCTACCCCAAGAGGATGACTATAGCCAGTAGCATCCTTGAGCTAAGCGAATTAGAAAGCCGTGAATTACTTTTTTAAAGAACCCTTGAAGGATAATGCTAATGCAATACAGTGGGTTCCCTTCGTAGCAAAAGGCAGCACAACCGTTGTCTTCCCAGCCTAAAAAAAACCTCACATGCTCAACTCACACCCATGAAAACTCGTTGTCTTGAGCACTTCCTCACTGGTAGGCTTGACTTAACGGGCTGAGTGAACCTTTTTGTCCGTCATCCTTTCCCTCTCTTATTCCCTGGAGTCTGGGAAGTCTCAGAACAAAGAGTGTTCTCTCCCACCAACTCTCAACATCTAGAGCCTTGAAAGCGTGATGGGGAGCTTGTAAATGATGATTTACTGGGATGGGAATTTCATTTTTCCTCATCCAGTGACAAGATCAGCTGTTGTTATTAATGACTTAGCTAAATTCCTGAACCTATCACTGATGCAATTACTTTTGGGGCTGTAGGCAGTTTAGGCGAAGGGAGAAGAAAAACCCCATTAGTGACTTTTTGAAGAGGTGGTGTTGGCATCGTGGCTGACAGCACGGAACGGCCATGGGGTGTGTTAATCAAAGCACAACAATAAGAATCGATTTCACTCTCTCCCTCCCTCCTCCCTACAGAACCGTGAGCCCCGAACTCAAGTCTTACGCTTTGGGGGTGCTTTTCCTGCTTCTCCGTTTGCTAGGTAGGTACAAAAATTTCATGTCCTTCTCTCCTATGCTTTTCTCCCTCACAGGTAACTGTATTTTTAATGTGCAAAAGTTGATGCTGCTCTGTGCCATGCTCCGGTTGTCAGGAGTGGGGTCTGAGGCAGTGGGGTCATAAGAAATGACCATTTCTGCCATGGTCCCGCGCAACCAGTTACTCTTCTGTAGCTGTTATTAACATGTCAGCAGCTTGCAGAATTACTGCTGTATTGCATATTGCTGAAGTAAAGGGATATGTATTTTCATCCTTCTTTGAGGGACAGGACCTGTGTTACATGTTGTGTTTGTCCCTTCCTTCGGGTCTCTTGGAAAGGAAAACAGTAGAACGGGACAGGCGGAGTCCTGGTATCCTCCTGTGGGTTAATATCCCATTAAAATGCATATGGCTGTTCCTCTGGACCGGTATGTGCTTCTCAGGTATGAATTAATAGGAACACACAAGAGCTGTTGTTTGCCTGCTTCTTGTTTCTGGGTGGATGTTTTTTCCCCCTTTTGAAGAGGTGGCTCCTATTTTAAAGCTCCTTTATTTCAGCTCATTAATGTCAACAGTTCAGGGCAAAATCCCCTGTTGGCCATCATTCTGTGGGTTTTTGTGTGTTGTGGGGATGGAATTTACTGGGGTTTTACTCCCACCTTCAAAGGAACAAGCTGGAGGGTAAAATGCTGCCTCTTGGGCTGCAGCGAAGACACTAGGTAGTAAGGGACCAAAAATCTCACAGTACCATACGTCACTTTGAATAAGTGACCTCACTGATTTATTGTTTTTAACACTTTATTCCCCATTAGCTGAAAGGGACATGGTGGCCCCAGACTGGTTTACAATAAAGCCAATTAGATTTTCATTGCTTTTGGTGAAGTAACTTCAGTCATAGTGAAAGCTTCCCCAAGTGATCTTATCCAGAGCTCAGAGAATTCAAAGGGAAGCTTTTTTGGGTTGACTTGGGTCAGCTTTGGTTCAAGCCTTGCAAAGACAGCATTTTCTTCAGCTGCGGCGGCTGCTCTCGGGTTTTGGCCTGTCCAGCTCTGAATGCGGAGTGTCAGCAGGCAAGTGTGCGAGGATGGCTGTGAGCTGTTGTTTCCAAAGGAAGAAGTACTTAAGGGGGGAGACTTTTTTCTCTTTTCCTTTCAAAAGAAACCTCCTGAGATAGCAGCATGTTGAATCCCTCCAAAACCAGGCTCAGACATGTATGCTTAAGCTGAATAGATCTCTTCTTTTCTTCCAATAAAGCAGCCATAGTAAGAATTTAAACTCAAATCTTTATATGTTGCTCTGTCACTAAGGAATTCCCATGAAATAAGACAATACATCCTGAAGCATATCAGCAACGTAGCTAGAACGCGCAGAAAATGAAGAGAAAGGTACTTTTCAATATGAGCAAGGGTATCCAAATCTTGCCCTTAACAACCTGAGGTTTGAGAATAGCTTTACTGATTTATTTTAAAAGCTTTTCGGTTCACCTTTAAGCTTTGACTTAAGAAGAGAGTGATAATAGCTGCTTCTTGAACCAAAGGAGAGTATTAAATATAGGAGGTATGAGACCCGGAGGTGCAATCATAGCTAATAGATTTCAGCAAGACAGAAGCAGCTTTTTTATACAGCCCTACAGTTTCTGCAATGAATTATATATATCGCAGAAATTTTTGCAACACTTTGCAGTAAGAGGTAAAACATGATTGAATCTCTTTAATATTCACTGTAATAACATGAAACACGAGTGAATTCTCCCGGTACCTCCTGGATGTATTATCTTATTCCATAGGAATTCTGCTGTGAGAGGGCAGCGTAACAGTGACTCCATATAAAAGCGTTACTGCAGTTACTCAGAGAAGAGAGTAAAGCAATGCCATTGGAGCCAAAGGTTTGGAATGGAAATGTCTGGAATGGCAAAGAGTTTTTAGACTTGTAAGTTCCTGGATGCGTCCTTTCTGGATGGTGTTCATCGTGCATCCTAGCAAACCTCTGCTTACCCAGGGCACTTCCTTCTGTTTTTCCTGAGTCATGTTGTTTGCCTCTGTTCTTCCAACATGATAAAAACACAGTGTTTCTCTCCCAGAATGACTTTCAATCTGCAGTGCAACCCCTTAACTCCCTTGTCTCAGAGGGTCTAGGCACCGAGTCGTTCTTGTGAGTCTCTTGCCCCCTCCTCTGGTAATAATGACCTGAAACACTCATTGTTTGCTAATAGCTTTTCATATTTTTTTAAGGTTTCCACATCTGGGCCTGCACACACATAGGTTTAGCTTTGGAGTTCAGTGAGGACAGGTCCTTCCACAAGACTTAGGAAGAGCAACTTCCAGGCCAAATTATCTTGGAAGCCTGGAAAGCCAGCTGAAGCTGGCGCTCTCTGAAGTTCAGCCTATAACTCTCCAAAGCTTTGTACTAACACCTCGCAGCATGGTAACAAGTAGGGGCTCACACCTCAAAATCATGATCCAAATGCAGTTTTCTGTTAGTCCAGAAAACGTGTGGCTCCTGCCTCCGCGGTCACTGCCACGTCTGGGTGGTACCCCCATAGGTAGATCCAGCACCAGTGCAGCACTGAGCACACAAACTGCAGGCAGCAGCAGAGTCTGTCTGCTTGTTCCTTGCAGGAGTCCAGCTCAGTTTTTAAATTCCAGGTTGAGTGTTCACATGTCCACAGGTTCCAACAGAAAAAAAAAGGGATCATTTAACCTAGAAGCAGAACCAGCCCAGTCTGCAATTTCTAGTCATTGAAATGACAAGACAGGGAGCTGGTTGCTGACATTTTTTCTGGAACATAACCACGTTTTTAGGTGTGATGACTGGAACTAGTGTTTATAACAAAAGGATCGCCTTCCTTTTGTATCATTTGTTTTTATTTACTACATTTGTGCTATTAATGACTGGTTAAAATGAGCACCAAAAGCCCATATAGCCTTTCTTAACTCCTGCATTTAATAACACGTAAGGAAGATCAAACAAAAACTGCAGAGCTCTAGTTGTCGACAAAATAAAATAAAGAGATCTCAGTTACCACAGGGAGCAGTGAAGACAAGCAATTTATTTGTAGTCTTAGGATATGTGTCATGAATGTCACTATTTTGTTCATGACAAGCTGAAGGAAGGTATCTTCTTGAAGTGTGGAAATCCAGGTTAATGATGAAACTGGATCCAAGATTAAACACACTTGTGTCTAGAAACTGCAGTCCTTGTGTTTGTTTGTCTACACATGTATTTATAGTCTCGGGCATCGCAGCACCTATGAATGGAGTGATGCTGTTGAGCATATGTTGTGCCCACCCGCTATTCGGTCTCAGTAGATACGATGATCTCTTTTTCCTGCTGTCTTAACCTACAGCAGTGATTTTAGCAGTTTTTTCCAAGGGTTTATCCGCTTCCAGCCTCCCCCCACAACTATAGGAGAAGGAAGAGAAATGGTTCACCTATGCAGAACATCCGCATTTTCTTCTGAGTGCTGCACACTGGGTGCACGTGTGGTGGCTGGGGAGTGAGAAGCTGGAACGCGGATGTCCCAACCACAGTCAGGGTAATGCGAAACGAGGGGCCTCTACAATATCCCTCTAGGATCTGGAGAAGTAGAGAAGAAAAACATCGCCTTTATTAGTTAAATGAGATTGGAGTGATTAGTTTGCTTTAAGATTGCAGCTCTGCTGCAAACTATGATTGAGAAACACTCATCAGTAGTTAGCTGCGGTGGCTGTGGGAGAATCCTGCTGGGCTACTTCATTTCATGGTGCACTGAAATTTTCCCTTCTTTTCAGATTTAAACTTGGGCGTCTATTAGAGGCCATTTTCCTTAGACTCAGAGAAAACCTTCTCCTGTGTCAGGGAGAGGTCCAAAACTAGACCTCAGTGCCCCAGCTGATTTCAGGCTCTGGAGTCCTAGGACATCTTTCAGGTAAACACCCCAGAGTGCAGAATTACCAGTGTCTGAACAGAGAAGCTGCAAGGCTGTCCTCCTCCTCTTTCATTTACCCCTCCGCTCAGTCTCATTAGGCAAATGAGAATCTTAATAAAAGCCACTTAAACTTGAGTAAAATCCTTCCTGCATGTTGATATCCGCAGGAATCTCTTCTGTAGGTGTTGAGTCCAAGCTCAAAACTCATCCACAGACTTTGTTTAGCTTGATTTAGAACTTAAATTAGAAGCACAGGCTGCAGCCGGGATCGTTAACCTTGATAAAGCATCCTCTCTTTCCTTCCACTGCAGTCACGTCTTCTCTCTTTATCATAAGGATCATAAAAGCATGATTTGTCTCTCTTCTTTTGACAGGTTTTATCCCGCCTCCGCTGATCTTCGGGGCTGGAATCGACTCCACGTGTCTGTTCTGGAGCACGTTCTGTGGCGAGCAAGGAGCCTGCGCGCTGTATGACAACGTGGTCTATAGATACCTGTATGTTAGTATTGCGATAGCCCTGAAGTCCTTTGCGTTCATCTTGTATACAACCACCTGGCAGTGCTTGAGGAAAAACTATAAAAGATACATCAAGAACCACGAAGGTGGTCTCAGCACTAGTGAGTTTTTTGCCTCTACTCTCACCCTAGACAATCTGGGGCGGGACTCGGTGCCCCCAAATCAATCACATAGGACAAAATTTATCTATAACCTTGAAGATCATGAGTGGTGTGAAAATATGGAGTCTGTTTTATAGTGACTGTGGAGGGGGGAACTGTATTAATAACACAAGGGTCCTTTTTAATAAAAACAAGAGGAGAGCACGAATGGAGAAACGCAACTGCAAAACCACAACGGCAACACAGGAAACTTTTGTCTTTTTCTCAAAGTCAGACCCAGCCAGGATTCCGGAGAACAGCATCTTTTAACGGGATCACTTGGGAAATCCTGTGAGGTGAAGGAGAAAGCAGGGAGCCGTTGTGGCTGGGAACCAGCCCCTTTGATGACAGTACGAGCTTCCAAGAAGGGCGCCCGCGGAGGGTCATCGGAGAGCTTGGCAAACGGACAGGCTCGGGCGTGAGGCGTAGAGAAAGCCAGGTGATGACGGCAGTGCTGGCACAGGCGTTTGCGCTTGCCAACGGGGTCCCTGGGACACATGGAGCCCCGCAGCGTGGGCTGGAGGGTTGGCGGGGGTGTGATGGCAAAGAGGGGAGCGGTGCTGGGGCTGTTCCCACCGGTCACACTCTGTCACCGGCCACGAGTCCGCAGTAAATACCTTGAGAGCTGCTGGAAGCCTTCCACGTGGCGAGCAGTGCTGTCGGAGGTCTCCGAGCCCTTCCAGCCCAGGTTTATTCGCAGACCACAGCTTTGTGGTGTCTGTGAATAGCTCTGCTCAGATCTCCCAAACCTGTTAAGTTCAAGGTGTTTGCTCACACTTGCCAAACGTGCTGTTGTTTTTAAGGGGGGGGATGAATTCCAAATAACCTGTCTGTGTAGTCCTCTAATAAGGTTTTTTTTTTAATTACTTTCAAATCTATGTTAACCCTTAAATCGCTGACACTTTTCCATAGGGAGGATTTATTTATGCTGGTTTGGGGAAGGATCCTGTTTAATTCACCCAAACATAATGTGACTCGAGGGGTTTGTTTAATCCTCTGCATTTTTTATCCATACGCCTTCATTCTAATATGCTACCAAGCCAATGAAGACACATAATATGTTTTTAAAAAAGAGAATGATTGCACTGTGTCTCTATAAAAACAATTGTCAGTTGGAGAATTATAGATAACATGATGATTTACATAATATAGTTTTTTCATATTCTATGTGACTCAGTGAATACATATATATATGGAGAGGCTGTTTATGTTCTCTCCAGTTTTTAAAGATATATATATATATAGTTTGCAATCTAGAAATTGTGTGGTGGATGTTTTCTTTAAAGTGTGTGTGTGTGTGTGTGTGCGCACAAGGTGAAAGGAATACTGACCTTAATCCTGCAACCCTCACAGCTGATTTTTTTTTTCACCTGAGAAATTCCATTGACTTCAGTGGAAGCCATGTGAGAAAGGTGGAATAATCTCCCCTCCTGGAGGCCACGTTTTGCCCTTAGATGTGCAAATAGTGTTCCTGTGGAAGGCTGGGTTATGGGAGCAGAGGCTGGCCAGCACTGAGCACCTCTCAAATTTTCATTCAGCTTCTCAGGAGGCACCCATGCAGGAGCAGATTTGGCTTTGCTTTTGCAATGCTGTCTTATCTAAGCCTGCAAAAATCGTGGGGCAGCTTTCATCTGATTTCAAGAAGCATTAGGTCAGGCTTATTTTGCATGCATATTTTTCTTTTCCAAAACATTCCTGTTGGGAAGCAATACAAATTGGTTGTGTTTGATGAGTTTTCCTCAGGAACCAGACCCGTTTCCAATGGACTAAATGTCAGAAGGGTTTTAAGGGTTAGCATCATAATCAAGAAGCTCATTTTTTGTTTGTATTTGGATGCCGTTGTGAACTTGCAGATGTTTAGAGAAGTAATCTGGCATGTTGAACTGAACACTGGACACTTCCATACAGCTGGCAGAGGAGCTGATCTTCACCAAGTCCGTGTCCATTGCCGGCAGTGGACACCCTGGAGTTGGCACAATTGCAGAGGGTTGGTAACTTGCCACTCATGTTTGACACCTTTTTAGGAAACTTTGCTCTTATCTAGGCATTGAAACATGGGTGTGGGGTATCAAACTGCTTCCCCTTGACTGACTTTACATGGGTGTTTGTAATTTATGCACAGCATTACATGTTCAGCAACAATAAGGGCAAAAAAAAAAAAAAGGATGTATCAAATAAACTCCACTGTGCCAAATACTCAACAAATATTGTAACTGCAGATATTTGGATCTTGGTTTTCAGCCATGTTAAGAATCACTTGATTAATGAAGGAGTTTAAGGAAAAAAAGTTAATTAAGCTATGCAGTGCCATTGTTACATTGGGTGGTAAATGATGCTTCTTAGACCATTAGATTGGTTTAGTATATCCTGTCTGCTAAAATAGAGATACTGCATCCATAAAACAATGAATTTAAGAGAGGCACAGGGTGCATAACTGTCTCATAAAATATGTATAATTGTTAAGTATAAGCCTTTGAAATCATTCTGTACAGTTCTCTTCATTCTGAAAATTTATTACTTAGACTGCTGTCTTTTCAAATGTTAGCTCATAATTTTATACTACACACACACATTCAGATTCAAACATAAATGTCACAGAAAAGAACCTTTCTAAAAGCCTGATTGCTTGAAATTCTATAACCCCTTTCACAATTTCATATTTTTCCCCTCGGAAAGTCCAAGGTGAAGGAGAATAGCATGCTGACACGATGCAAAACAAACTCCCGGCGTTCCAGAGCTGTGGTTTGTCAGTACAGTCAAAAGTCCCCCTTGACCGGAGTTATAGAAACAGGTTTCCAAGGCACTTCACATTTTCAGCTTTATTTTTGGTTTTGGGGTGGGTTTTTTTTTTTCATTTAATCTCTTCTCTCGGTATGTATGGGAGATGCCGTTGAATGGGGTTACTTACATTACTTTTTAAGCTATAACTGAAAATTCATGCAGGATTGTTGGTTTATTTCTTTTGATAATACTACTTTTCAAAAGCTCTCTCCTCATCCTACTCTGTTTTTTAAGGATGTATCAGATGCCTGCATCATGAAGGGCTTTGCTGTCAATGCTTTGGTACAGATTCAAGAACAGAGCTTTAGTTTAAAGAAAACACACAGACCAAAACCTTCATCCATCCCAGCAGGCTCTGTGTTTTTCCTGATTTCAAAACCACAAGCCAGTTTTGCCTGCGACACAGTTTTTCTTACGGAATAACAAATGAAGAGTCTCAGACATCCTCCCGCTTCCCAAATTGCAGTATGGGCCTTCGCCTGTCAGCACTTCGCTTCCATCCTGCCACTGCCTTAACCGTGCAGGAAACTTAAGAACAAGGATGGAGTTAGAAAAATGCCCATTCTTGGGAACAGAAACAGCGACATGGTCTGAGCTGTGCAGTCCACATCCAATGATGGGAATTTTTCTCCATATTCAGGGGCATTGAAATTCAGGGTTTTGTTGAGACCTCGGTCTCCACAGAAATTTTCGCCTGGGTGGCTGCGTGCTAGGGAATGGGATGCTGGAGGTACAAACTACCCAAGATTTAGTATTCTCTGTGGGATTGTCCAGTTGCCTTGCATGACTTCAGGTTGGGCTTTCCTTTCCCTTGCACAGATTCCACCTTGGCGTAGGCCCAGCGGAATCAAAAGGGGACCCCAATCTAAAATTGGTGCAGATGACTCTAGAATTGATCCCATCGGTTTCTTTGCATCCTTGTTAACAAGGAGATGCGTTTTCAGAACCTCCTTTTTATACCGGTTGAAATCACACATTTTTCTGGCTTTGCCCAGCACATTGTGGATGTATAGTGGGACCAAAAGGATCGTCACTTGAATTTTCTAGACAAACCTTCCATTCCTTGGGAATCCGACTAAGAGGGACGTCACGCTGCCATACCCTGGCAAGATGCACTGAACTGCTTAGCGCTGCTACTGCTGATCTCAGTTGGGTCTCACCTTGCTGGGAAGGTGAAAAGGGAAAGATGCCGAGAGGAATTAGCTTCAATTAGCTGAGTTAGCTATGCTTCAGCATTGAACCGTTGGTCTGCAGACATTTGGAAAGGGATTGGAGTATTTCCAAATGGCTGAGATGCATTGGCATTTTTATCTTGGGAGAAAAAAAAATTAAGGGAATGAATGAATGGGACTTGGAGTCCCTCCTGTCCCCATCAGTTTTATGTTCATCAGGTTCTGTTGGAGGCAATGTACTTCAAGTTTACCTTTGTGTCTCAGTCAGACGCTATTTTTTTCCTCAGTAAACGATGTCCTGGAAGACAGAAAGGCGATTCCATCTTGTTTCACTCTGCAGCAAGCCCAGGGCTACCAGCGCTGTGAAGCTGCAGCCCCTGAGCCAGCCAAGGCTGCTGCTGCCACGCGAGAGTTTCTCACACCTGGCTGTGTTGGTCTCAGTGTTTTCTTAAGACTTGGACGGTCGTGGTGTGAAGTTTGGTTTATTCTTGGCAGGTGACATGGGGAATTGTCAGTGTTAAAGACACAGGCAAATGCTTCTCTGGCATGATAAGAACTTTGTTCCCTTATTCACAAGAGTTCCCAGACTTATTCTTATGCTGCCTTTAGACGCAGCCATGTTCATCTTACCCCCTAATTTCATGTGAACTGTCTTTGCAGGTTGGTTGTTCTCTCGCTGGATCTGATTAATGCCTGCAAAGTTCACAGCGTGTAGGACAGAGCACCCCTGAATATCATAGAATCACAGAATGGTTTGGGTTGGAAGGGACCTTAAAGACCATCCAGTCCCACCCCCTGCCATGGGCAGGGACACCTTCCACTAGACCAAGTTGCTCAAAGCCTCGTCCAGCCTGGCCTTGAAGACGGCCAGGGATGGGGCATCCACAGCTTCTCTGGGCAACCTGTTCCAATATAAATCTCCCCTCTTTCAATTTGAACCCGTTACCCCTTGTCCTGTCACTGCATGCCCTTGTAAAACATCCCCCTCCAGCATTCAAAAAGAATATAAGCAATAATACTGACCTGTTCCCTTTTGCATTAGGAGCTTTTGCTTTTCTTCCCTAACTCTGAGTTCACTTCTCCCAACATCCCAAGCTGCTGCTGGGACTCACCTTTTTTGTTAGCAGCAACGCCAGGAGTCAAGC